TGTCCCTTTAGTTTACTGATCATTAGTGTACTGTCCCTTTAGTTTACTGATCATTAGTGTACTGTCCCTATATAGTTTACTGATCATTAGTGTTTTGTCCCTTTAGTTTACTGATCATTAGTGTACTGTCCCTTTAGTTTACTGATCATTAGTGTATTGTCCCTATAGTTTACTGAACATTAGTGTACTGTCACTTTAGTTTACTGAACATTAGTGTACTGTCCCTATAGTTTACTGATCGTTAGTGAACTGTCCCTATAGTTTACTGGTCATTAGTGTACTGTCTCTTTAGTTTACTGAACATTAATGTACTGTCACTTTAGTTTACAGATCATTAGTTTACTGTCCCTTTAGTTTACTGTTCATAAATTTACTGTTTCTTTTGTATAACTTTACTCGTCATAAATATAGTGTCTGATCACGTAACATTTGATTATTGATTTTGGTAACCAGTTAGCAGTCTTATGACTTAGTTACCGGTTGAATGGCTAACCATTGACAACCCAAGTCTAAAATACAATATCTTCGAGTGAATAAGTAAGAGTAAAATTACCTGACATGCTGTCTTTATGACTGTTGTGTGTGTTATACACACCACTTATTCTGTTAAAGATTTTAATTCCGAATGATCAACTGCCATCATATGGTCATAAATCCAATTGTGTATGAATTGGTTTCCAATGGAAATAAACAAACCCAAAAAGTGTTATGAAAGCTGTTGTAAAATGGGCAAAATGGGAAGCCCAGGGGTAATGAAATTAACAAATTTGATAAAGTATCTATCTATTTCCTTGAAATGAAATTGGAGCCGTTGATTTTGCGAAAAACTCAAAAAAATGAATTGTTAACAGATGGATGAATATAAGGGAAGATTTGTGCTGATAAAAAAATGACCATTGACAAAAGGTGATCATAAAATGAAAAATTACCTACATTGTATTTTTTTTCAGGAGTTGCTTTTGAGGGCAGTGAATGTGGAGATGAGAAATGTGTGATCCGAATGATAAAACAGAAGGGCAAGGTTCAAGTACTCAGGGAGGAGGTGGAGAGTAAGTATGATAAAACAGAAGGGCAAGGTTGAGACACTCGGGGAGGAGGTGGAGAGTAAGTATGATAAAACAGAAGGGTATTAAGGTTGAGACACTCGGGGAGGAGGTGGAGAGTAAGTATGATAAAACAGAAGGGTATTAAGGTTGAGACACTCGGGGAGGAGGTGGAGAGTAAGTATGATAAAACAGAAGGGTATTAAGGTTGAGACACTCGGGGAGGAGGTGGAGAGTAAGTATGATAAAACAGAAGGGTATTAAGGTTGAGACACTCGGGGAGGAGGTGGAGAGTAAGTATGATAAAACAGAAGGGTATTAAGGTTGAGACACTCGGGGAGGAGGTGGAGAGTAAGTATGATAAAACAGAAGGGTATTAAGGTTGAGACACTCGGGGAGGAGGTGGAGAGTAAGTATGATAAAACAGAAGGGTATTAAGGTTGAGACACTCGGGGAGGAGGTGGAGAGTAAGTATGATAAAACAGAAGGGTATTAAGGTTGAGACACTCGGGGAGGAGGTGGAGAGTAAGTATGATAAAACAGAAGGGTATTAAGGTTGAGACACTCGGGGAGGAGGTGGAGAGTAAGTATGATAAAACAGAAGGGTATTAAGGTTGAGACACTCGGGGAGG